GGTTAAGGGATTTCTCTGAGGCTCCCAGTGCACGTCCGTGTGGCATGGAAGGCCTTTCCGACGCGGGCCCCCATTGGATGCCAGAAGGGGCCCCTGAGGCACCAGTGGACGTGGGACACGGGTGACCCTGGAGACCAGCGCCTGGACACCCTCTGGGCCGAGTGGCTCACCAAGATGGCAGATGAACTATGCCGTCGATTTGACCTCTGTGAAGGTAGTGGCACGCCTTATCGTGGACGTGCTGGAGGATTTCGGCGCCGTGAAGTGCAACTCCAGTTGCTCATGCAGCGGCGTTGGGAGGACGGAGTGTCTCCGAAAGGTCGGGCTTGGAAGTCGCTCCGAGGGGCCCTACACAAGATCCGAGGCCTCTGGGCAGGCCCTGACATTCCCAGATTCTGGAACACCATGGAAGGCCTCCTGAGAACCATCCAGCAGTTCGGCCCGACCATCCTGGGACCAGATCTTGGGTTCGTCGGGGGCATCCCCTCACTGCTATATGCGGCTACGACAGGAGGCGACTCCCTGGAAGCAGTCGTGGACTCGGTAGATCACATCACCGAGCGTATCACCCGCGGACAGGCCCGTCTGCGTTGGCAGCGCTGGCGAGCATGGGCACGCGATGCTGTTTCGGGAGGCGGCAAGGTTGCCCACAAGTTTATCAAGGAGGCATCTCCGATCACCCTTCCCATGGCCAAGGATGGCCTACCCTTGCAAGGTGATGCGGCGGTGCAGCAGCTTCAGTCGGAATGGAGTAAGTACTGGCGTGGTACGAAGACGATGATGACAGACGCCCAGGTGCGCCAAGCTGAAGCAGAGACGCTGCCCCCCCCATCCTTGGACCTCCTTCGGACGGCTTTTAAAAGTTCAAGCACGATGCGGGGCTAGGCGTCGACAGCATCAGCCCAAGAAGCTGGCCTCTCCTCTCGGACGATTTTCTCAGTAGGCTCTGCGCTGTGCTCGCCGTATGGGAACGAGACCTGGAAGTACCATAGCATTCATCGCAAACGCAGAAGGACCAGGACTCCGACCCATTGCACTCATCGCCGGCCTGTTTCGTGTGTGGGCGCGCATGCGCCAAGCCATGGCCAAGGATTGGGAGCGCGTGCGCGACCTCCCGTGTTTCTGGTGATCCAGAGGCCGCACTTGCGATCGTGCTGGATGGGAACATGAATTCTACAACTACCTCTCCTCCCTCAACGGGTTTGAGTCGGCCACCCGTTTCAGCGACCTTGAGAAATTCTACGAGCGGGTGTCCCATTTTATCTTCATGAGGGAGTCGCGGGCCACGTGGTTCAATGGGCGCCTCACCTTGACTGCTTGCAGGCTCTATGCGGGTCCTCGAGCCCCCAGCTTTCACAATGGGGTTGGAGAGGTATTCTGGGCCAGGGAGACGATCTTGGCTGGATGCACGTTGGCCACAACCTATGCTAAGATGATGTTGTACAGGTTGCTCCGAGACCTCCTGGAGGCCCACCCCGATGTAAGGATCAGAAACGTGGTAGACGACGTGCACGCACAATGCTTAGGCACAGTAGATACGATCACATTCCAGCTAGGCCAGGTCGGGAACAAGTTAGCCACTGGCTACTCGAAGCCCGAGCTTGTGCTGGAAAACACCTAGACGCACTTTGTGGCATCCTCGAGGCGGCTTGAGGACCAGCTCAGGGACACCTGGAGGCACCGCGGGCTTCGAGCGCAGAAATCGACCAGGAGTTTCGGACCCACTGTGACGGCCGCAAAGAGACGTAGGCGCACTACCACTCAGGCTTCTCGTCTTCGGAAGGGTCTCCGCAGAAGCTGGAAGCTCCGCCAACTTCGGGGAGGTGGGGCGACCACGCATCGTGTCCAGCGGGCTGGCCCTCAGGCGTGTGCAGTTTGGGGAGCAATCGCGGGAGGGCTCTCTGGGCGCCAGCTTCACAGCCTTCGAGTCGCTGCAGTGAGATCCCTCTTCAAGTGTAAAGGTACGGCTTCCCCTGTCCTTAGGTTGTACAGTCCGAAGGTTGGACGGCGAATGGATCCCCAGAGCCTTTACCATAGATCGGTGGTGATGGCCTGGTCCCAGGCCATTTGGGATGGGAGGCCCACGCTGGCCAACTTGCAGCAGGCTCTTGATGGAGCCCAGCAGGATTTAACCAAGGCTCGGTTTTCCTGGCGTGCCGTTCGGTCCCCTGTGCACGTTTTCGTACAAACGGTCAGAGCGCTAGGCTGGCAAATCCAAAGCGCTCGTAGTTTTGTTTCGGAGGACGGTCGAGCGTTGGATCTGCTGGCCCTGGCTCCGCACCAGGTTCCGTGGCTTGCGCAGCGAGCGGCCCAGAGGAAATCCGACGTGGCGGCCTTGACGGCCAGGAGCGTCTCCGTGGTTTGGAACCGCCCCGTCCTCTGGGAGCCCCTCCTGGAACTTCTGGAAGACCCTGTTAAGGGCCTGTGGTCCAAGCACCATCAGGAGTCGCTGCGCAGCCTGATTTCGCAGTGCACGTGGACTCAGGAGCGTTTATGCAAGCACGGTTTAACCAAGGACCCGCTATGCCAGCTATGCCGCTCTGCCCCTGGGACTCTCTGGCCTGCTATGCATGGCGAGAGAACCGCGGCTTGCAGTAAAGATCTTCTCCAGGCTGCTAGGAATCTGGAGGCCTGGCACCAGTGCCTCGAGAAGGCAGCGGCTGGCATTTTCCCCCTCCCCTTCGAGCTGGTTCCTCCCACTCCCCCTGCATGCCAAGCGGGTATCACCTGGGGGCCTGAAGATGGGGTCCTGCGGGGCCACGTTTTCTCGGACGG